GTGGGCACACCTTTAATCCTAATACTCTATAGGTAGAGTAAGCAAATCTTTGTGAATTTCACTTCAGCCTGGTCAACAATGTAAGTTCCAGAATTGCCAGGGCTGTTACACACAAAAACCCTATCTTGAAATGCCACCATCCCCCAAAAATTCATATGTTGCTCAATGTTGGTTTTATTAAAATAACTTACTGAATTATTTTATTTTTGATTCATAGCAATTGTTTTATAGATGAATGGGACATTAAATTTTTATTATATGCATGCAACATATGCTGATCAAAATAGTTTGGGTTTAGTGTTTCTCATTGTTTCACTATACGTGAAGCCTTTGAACTCTGCTAGCCATTCCTAAAATTTCTCAGAATTTATCACGAGATGTAGCCCTGCCACTGTCATTATTGCTTTGGGATGAAAAAGAAAGAACAAAGAAAAGGAGGCAAGATACATAAGGGGCTTTATCAGTTTTAGATCTGGAGTTCATGGTAATAAATATATCCAAGTTCAAGCTGGGCATCATACAGTATATGTCGCCAATATGGAGACCTGATCACATTTCCACCAATGCCTCATTTATTTCAGACATCAAGTACGATCTTATTAAAACAACATTCCAAATATTTTATTTGGGCAAGTTCATGTAGACATGGACTCTGTCCTGAAGAGATGACATAGGAGTTTTCCCTCAGTACACTCTGCAGTCGTCTGATCCCTCTTGCCCTGGATAAACTAACTTTATGAAGAGTTTCCACAGTCATTCGGTCTCCTACCCTTGATACCCCATGGTTATCTTGAACCCTTCATCTCCTCCCTCTAAAGTCCAAAGCATTTCAGCCCCCAAAGCGTCTGGCGATTATCATCGAGATTCTGCCATCTCACTTCAGTTCCTTTGGCTCTGACTTGCTTCAGATCCTTCTGTAGTACCATTTGAAGTCTCCATACACACCAGCCTTCCATGCAGGAGTAATTGGGGTTCACATTCCCTCATCTTTGCCCCAATGAAGATCCTACATCTCTCCCAAACCAAGTTTTTAGGATAACTTTCAACAAATGGATACAAGACCATTATCATAAACTCATATTCCTCTGACGCATAACCTCCTTTCCCAAAGTAGTTTGTCAACCTGCTTTCCACATTCCGAGGTTTGACCCTTTATTTCTGCTCTGCATTGTAGTTAGGTCCTTCCCCCCCCGCCCCCGCCCCGAATCTGCTTTAAACTTTGTCCTAATTTTCCCTAGCTAATTTTTCTATATATCATGACTTGGTGCTTACTCTTCGTGCTATTTGTGCATTTTTTTTTCAAACATGTCAGTTTCATTTATCCATGGAATCATTCACTTCATCGCCTACCTTTAGGAACCCCTCCGAAGGCCGTCTCAAGGGCTCGTGTGAAATGACAGGGATGATGTCATTGTTAACTGGCTACAGGGATGAAGATGTTTGAATCCCCAAAAATGTATGTGAATAGGAGGATGGAGTGTATAACTCTTTCAATCAGAAAGGTTTAATCTTCCTTAACCTATGCTACTGTGTATGCCTATGGCAATACAGGTACCACACACCCTACATCACACTGCAGTAGGGCATAGTGGTGCTACTATTTAGCTGGCAGATTAGAATGGGAGACACTGATATGAACTTGTTGCCATCTGTGAACGGAATACACCCTGAGAAAATCATGCTATGGAATCCATCTATATCAGTTGTAAACAGAGAAAGTTGATAAACATCAAAGCGTAGACTATTTCTTTGTGAAAGTTCAAGGGGCTGTTTTCATGTACAACAATCACACGGCATTTTATAATTTATTTTGCTTAAGTTGACTGCCTCATAACAAATGATCCAGCCATTACACTAAAAATGGTCACGTCTTCAGAAAGCTAAACTTAGAAATACCATATGAACCAGCAATTCCAGTCCTGGGGATGCAGATCCAACAGAACTGAAGCTAGCTTCTCAAATGCTTCTACACATGTGCTCATGGAGTACTATTAATAAGTCAAAAGAGAAACAATCTTAAATGTCCATTAACAGATAGATAGATAAATCAACTATGATATATAAATATCGAGGGTTACTTTTTAGCTATAAAAAGAAATGAAGGAGTAATACATGCTGCCATATAGCTGGGTCTCCAAAACACTAAACTATGTGAAAGAAACCAGACACACAAGGTCATCCTGTGGATGCTTCTGTCTTTATGAAATGTCCAGAATAGACATATTTGCAGCGGAAGAAAGCAGATTGGTCATTTCCTGGGGCTAGAAAGGAAGATAGCAGCGAGTAACTTCTTATTAGACAGAGGGTGTCTTAGGGTTAATAAAAACATTTGGAGACAGAGTAAGGCAGGGCATGTGGGACATTATGAAATGTGCTAAACGTCACTGAACAGTAGACTTTAAAATGGTTACTTTAGTCTGTGAATTCTTCTTGAATTTAAGAAGTATATTCTCCATCCTTACCCAACGCATTGAACAATGCTACTGTTTCTTTATACGTGTTTCTAACCTTCCATGGGAAGGTGAAGAGAAAGCCCTACAAAATGTTCCCAACCATCCAAGATCTTATAAATCATTTAGAAAAGAAACCCTAACCAAAACACTTGGATAATGTCACAAATCAGGCCGTAGTAGGATGGTGCAGTTTTTTTCTGAAGAGAAACTGCGTACTTTGTTTCCCGCCCCAGTTTCATGGATAGGTTTTGACCCTAGGCAAGTCGCTCTGTGTCCCTTAGTTACAGGAAGAGAAGATTAAATGTGACAGTCTCTAAAACTTCTCCCAGGCCAAAAAGGGTTGAGATATTTTAAGCACTGCTGTAGAGTGGAGCTCAAACATGTCATGGGAAGTAAATACCAAGAGAATATATGAGTGGCAAAGGTCCCTGGGAAATCCCTCGGATGGCAGAAGGGTCGTGGGCCATTGCTCAACCTGGAAGTCTGCAAGAGTGGCTATTCTCAAGAGGTATGTCAGAGAGAACTTCAGCAGACGTCGATGGAGCAGGTCAATTTTCTGGGAAAAAAAATCTTTTCTTAAGTTATATCTAAGTCATTTGTGAACTATCGTCGGTCTAAAACATACAAAGGCAGGAGCTTCTATATCACAGAGGCTCACATATGTAAAATTCTTTAGAACTCTAAAACTTCACCAGCAACCCAACCCCATGTGCGCTGTTTTATAACTATGATCATTTAATTTCATCATGCCTAAACCTCTTATTTATGGTTTGTACTCAGTTCTATCCATTATCAACTTAGAAGTCATGACCTAAAGTTGGAATGAGAAACAGTCAGGTATGAAAACACGTAGCGAACTAATCTTTCACGCTCATTGAATAGGGCCAACATCAAACCTACTAATTTGAACAGAGTCTCTACATAAATCATACAAAGCAAAGTAATTAATGTCCTTCATAGGTGCGTTCTCAACACCCCGAGGCTATATGGAAACCTTTTAAGAGTGATAGTGTCTCGTGGCTGCCACGATAGATAGGAGTCTGGCTCTCCTCTTACCACGGAACAGTCTGCAGAGTGTGGGCAGCTGTTTCATCCCGTGACCGCAGGAAGATGCCCTTAAAAATGGGCACTCCTCTCTGCGATTCCATCCTGCATGTTGACTACCAAAGTCAAAGCTCCCGGTCTGGGAAGGTTTTCTGACATCTCTTGGCTTCTATCTACTGTTGAAGAGGCCTTTCTTTCCTATTTTATTAAACTGGAAATGTCCCACCTTCAATAGATGGCTTTGCCATCGCTGATCGTCAGGTGGGGCTTGGGGCTGTAGGACAGACAGGAGAGAATACAGAAAAGGCATTTTAAGGTTTGGAGACAATGGATTTCACAATGGCACAGCTCGGAAACCCTGGGATTACCTGTGGCCATGTTCAGGACAAGCCTCTCTGGCCTCCCCCTGAATGTCCCCTCTCAAATACATATTCACATACAACACAGACAAGCAGGTATGGTCCCCCAAACCAACCGCCCCAGCCATTGCCTCTGGCTCTGCAGATGCTGGGGTGGCAGGCTATCTTCTAGAAAGGCAGACAAGGAGGGGTGACTTTTTTTTTTTTTTCTTGTCCGTTTTCACACCTTCTTCAGCAATTTTCTGTGGCGGAAAATTTGGGAATGGAGAGAAGTACAGTTGCAAAAAGGAAAAAAAAAGTGTTTATGAATAATGGAACACTTCAAATCCATCTGGTTCCGAGACATTTTTTTTTCTTAGCTTCTCACTACAGCCAATTATATAACATGCTTGAGCGAGATCTGGTTCTATCCCGAGGCACATTCTGCTCTCAGATTTCTACATTGATAGTTGCAACCGACGTCGGAGGTTAGTAGCCATATGGTAGCCCAATATGGCGCTTTATACTCTACTCGTGATACCGTGGGTGATATTGTGGCCAACATAAATCCACATTGTAGTAGGTGCAGAAAACGGAGGACCCAGGGTGGGGAAGATGGAAGGCCTTCCCCGATTCTGGTAGCTTGTAGTAATTTCTCTTCTCAATTAAGGATGCTGTGGCTTATCCTATCACTTTTCCTTCGGTGCCTACATATATTCAGTTTATCTCTGAAAAAAACATTGATTTTCCATGAGAAGGACAGTATGACCAAGCTTTGGTTTAGGGCAAAGGTATTTCTTTTATACCATTCTTCAAATAACTATGTTCTCTCTCTCTTTCCACTGTTTCTTATCAATATATAAATTCAATTTATAAATGCATGTATTTTTAATGCACATATTTCCAACAGAGAGTATTTACATATTCTAACTTTTGTATTTCAATATACAAAATGGGAAATAATGATATATTGAGCATACATTCGTACCAGTGTGGATCTTTAGCACATAAAGTATTTTAAGAAGTAAGAAATCAATTTCATGTCCTAGGTCCTATAATTTTATATTGACAGTTCTTTATCAGCATTAAATACTTACTTTGTAGAAGAACTGAAAAGTTTATATTTACCTCTTAAGCAAATTGATTTTTATTTTTCCATCTTCAGGCCTCTCTGAAGGCGTCACTGGGAACTTCTGCTACCATCGTTCACTTTCAGAAAGGGGGAGTTGCTTCTTAGGAAACACGAACAGGCAGCCTTTGTGACTCGGACGACAAGGGCCAAAGCGGAGCTCAGCTGCCTGTCTGCCCTGCTCCCGTCATTTGCACAGAACTGTTCTGATGCTCCTGCCTTCTGAGCTCCCTGGATTCTACCACAGCCCCAACTATTCAAGGCCAGAGCTGACAGAAACAAAGAAGGCACAAAATTTACACAAGCTTCCATTTCTTCAAAACTTGCTTTCTTGGAGGGGTGTGGATATGTCTTGAACACATGCATTTTTTTCTGTATACTTAAAACATGTAGGTTACACTCTTCCTCCTCTCCCAGAAGGAGCTTCATGTTTTACAGTTTTTCATCTGATGTTTCAAGGCCCTGAGTCTTTTGCCCTATTTATTACCACCTAGCTATAATCTTGGAGGCAGAGACATAACTTCAATATTAGCATAACCCTCCCTAATATCCAACAAACACTGTATGTTCCTGGCAGATGGCCTAAATTAACACCTATAGAGGGAAGAACAGAAACTAGGCCTCTTGTAAATACTACAAAGCAGGGTCTTTACAATGAATTTGGGCAACATGCGTGCAAAATTTCATTCCAAGTAGTCTAAGTAACAGACTACATGGGACAGCTTTCCAAACTCAATGGAACAAATTTCAGGTTTTCCAACCCTACACCTGAAGACTAGAACACCTGACAGTGGGTTTTCTGAGAATTTTGCATTTTCTAAGGAGGTTTGATTTGCTTTAGTTATCTCGGTTGGTTCCCACAGGAGAATCAGCAGGAAGACTTGCATGATCTTATTGGGCTTTGGAATTTCACTTCCTCCTTGCTTCCTACTTTGTAGGCAGGAGATTATTCAGCCATACCTTTACATATCATCCAACAATCTTTTTTTCAACTGAACTCAAATAATGATGTTCAGATGAACAATGGGTTCAGTTTCTTGTTTTTTTTAAGGTGGGTGTAATTTGACTACTTTTTTCATTAAAAAAACACAAAACAAAAATCGAAGAAACAGAACCCCTGATTGCAGTTTTTCTTATTCAGAGACTGAGGAGAACAGGGTAATGGGCTGATTAACTAGCTTCCACTGCGAGTGAGCCTCAAATACTCCTCTGTGGGTAGTTGAATTCAACCTTGGTCCTCTAAATGTTTTCTGGCTTCTTCAGTAGAATAGATTCCTCTGTGACAGAGGGAAGGGCAGTATTTTCTTTAATTCTCAAAGTTGAGTTCCATATTCAGTAAGAATTGAGCTCTTATTGAATTGCCTGCATACTTTCTCAATTGAGCTACTACTCTGTGGAATAGGCCTGTTACAGAGCCTGGTACTGACCAGCTCTCAGCGATGCTGGGAGGTCATCATAAAGCCACAAGCATGCTCACTCCTCATCTGTCCCCTCTGCAGAGTGGGCCACATGAGCTCTGCCTGAAGGAGACCTTCCTTCTTCTGCTTTCTAGAACAAACAAGTCTGTGTGTTATGTGCGTATGGGACAATTTACTGCTCCTCCATATTTACGATTTCTTTTCCTAGTCTATCCATGAGGTGGACTCCCTCGGTTTAATTCATTTAATATGCACTGCAATAACAGCAAAACTTGTTAGGTTTCCCTTGCTTGGTTTGTGTAGAAATTGGTAGAGGAAAAAAAATAAAGAACACACAGCCTGGGGCTAAATCAGACGCCTGAAAACAGACGACCAGTGAGCTTCTTCTACCCATGAAAATGGCTGATGAACAGCCGGAGTGACCTGCTCCAACACGTAACCAGGAACTCTTCCTTGAGGGACAATTGCCAGCTTTGCCCTTGCTTTGTAACAGTGCCACCAAACCTCCTTTGCTGATAGCATGATGGCTAATAACCCTAATACAAAAGTCCATTTCAATGAACACACGGCATTTGTTTGATTTCATTCAAGGAGGGCTCAAGTAAGCCAGCACGTTCGGGGATTAATTAGTAAGGCCCACAGGAGAATTTTCATGAATTCAGGAAAAGAAGAAACTGCTGGAACCTCTGGATTCAGTCTACAGTCATTCTGCCTTTCCTGAAAAGTTCTGAGTGTGTCTGAAAAGCAAAACTAAGGACCTTTACTTGGCTAAATAGCTCTTCCATGTCGATGGTACGATTCAGTCTCATATGGTCTTATCATGGCCTGAAGGTCAGCTGTGTCCCACAGCTGCCATCCTACATCCCTCTGTGCTTGGGCCTTTGGTTCGTTACTTCCTCCTTAAGTATTTCAAATGGTACCTTTCTTCTTCATGCCAAACCCTTTCCTAATTCATACCATATCACATTCAGTCTTGCAGAGTGGCGCAGCCTCCCATCTGGTCTCTATCTCATCCATTATGGCTGCACCCTGCAGTCGTGGGAACACTTTTAATAAGGTCTCTAGGATGAGGATGTCACTCAGTGGATAAATGGTCCACCATATATAGGCAGGGTACTAAGCTAGATCCCTAGAACTGGTGGAGGTATAATAAACTCAGGAACCCATGTCAATCATAGAGGACTCTCTTCTCTGCCACGCCCAACAACCTCTCTAAATAATGAATCATTACCTGAGATTCTCATAAATTGTTGCATGAAATTTTGCTGAATAGATATTTACAAATATCCACCCCCCGCCCAAATAGAGTGAAAAAAAAAAAAACAAAGAAATGATTCCACCGAAGTCCAGCTTGGTGAACCAAGGAGCTCATTGATCCTGTTTACAGAAGCAAGTGTGTGGGCTTTTTAAAAAAGATCATAGGTGACTTCCACACAGTGGCATCCCTGAATAGCCCCACTCCACACAGATGACAACTTCCCCAGTGCTGCTTAGGTGGAGTCCCGACCTTGGTTCATCTTCTGCGCGCTCTATTCCCTCACTTGCCAAGGCCATGAGATCACATGCAGCTGAGGCAGAAATACATAGTTGGTAGAGAGGTGTGAGAGCCAATGTCTGAGATCTTGGAAGAGGGGATTCTAAAGTAGACTACATACAGCGTACCACACTTTGACACACATGCTGTAGACAAACAGAGCAGGGGAAAGAGTAGGAGACAGCCAGCCTGGGGGTGGGCCTCCTGCCCTTCCCAGAGAGAACTCAATGCCCAGATGAACACTTCTTCCACATCTGGATCAAAGGTTTTGACCATGAAAGGAAGATCATTGCAGATCGCATATACATATAGGGAAGGAAAAAACATTTCTCTAAATGTATCAGGATGTTCAAGAGAAAAAAAGCGTTTAAAAACAGAAAAATTGGGCTATGGGTATCGTGGAGCTGGTGAAGTTTGTGTGTAAGTGCACTCGACTCTGGCTTCCACATGAACATGACATATGTGTGCACCCAAATAAGGACATACACATAGACAAACACACACACGCATCCACACACATTTAGAAGTAGTCCATGTATCTAAAAATACAAATTTTGTAAGCAAAAGCACAATAAGGGTCTCTTTTCTAACCACTTTTTGTTTGTTTGTTTCAAGACAGGATTTCTCTGTGTAACAACCGTAGCTGTCCTTGAACTTGCTTTATAGACCAGGCTGGCCTCGAACTCACAGAGATCCTTCTGCCTTTGCCTCCAGAGGACTGGGATTAAAAGTATTCATCACCAAGCCTGGCTTTGTTAACCTTCCTAAACAAATTTCTTTCCCTCACTTGTTTTGGCAGTTCCACAGAGGTTTTATAAATCTATCCTATTGGGGTATATATATAAGCACAAGGCTCATAGCCTTATGAGCTTTCACTAAAAACACAGAAGAACCTTTGGTACAGTTTCATGAAGTTTAGAGTTGTCTTCCCAAACCTCTCGTTCTTTTGTTTTGTGATAGCCACGGGGAAGGAAGATCTGAATTTCAAGTCTGGTGAGGCAGGTGCATTTCCTCTCTCCAATCTTGAATGACTGGTTACTGGATAATTCTGAAAACAAATCCTGGAACATTTATGCAAATCGAAGTGTCCAGTTCATAATTTCATCTCCTGAGGAAGCTGGCCAGGCGTTTCAGAATGTAATGCCTGTACAACCCGGACTCTAAATTGAAAACGAGCATGTTTTAAACAAGTCCAGTGGAAAAGAATCAACAGTAGGACTAAAAACACCATATGCTTCTAACAGAAAAAGTTGCCCAGAGCAATATGCTATAATGGTATAATTGAGTAAGGATCCAATTGCATCAGGACCAGCAAGGATAGTAAGTTAGGTCGGCTAACTTCCGTTGGCTGGTTAAATTGACATATTAAAGCAAGGAGACTCTTAGAGTCTTTTCTTTCTATTAGGTAAGACACATATCACTGGCTTGCCTTCTGCTTTTAGTAATGATGAACTAGGCAATTTGGGCTGGTGAGGATAAGCAGGGAAGCCAGGCATATATTTTCTTTAAGGATATACCACTGCTAACAGACTCTGAAATAAAAGGAGGCTTAGGACACAAGAAAAGATAGAGGTTCAGAAAACGCTGTTGAGTATGGGATTTGAAGCCACTTTGTTGCCATTTTAGCTGTTGTTGAGGACAAATTAGTCAAGAGGTTGAGCGCTCATCAGTCTTCCCAACTACCCAAGGCAATTCTAGGATTGGGAAGAAGACTCTGGAAGCCAGCATTAGGGTCTCCCATTACTGCTGAGCCAATGAAGAACGCCCAGCTTCTGTGTGGACATAGATAGGCTCTCGCAGGGACTCTCTACTCAGCTTCTCTTGTTCTTAATCAGAGAAGAGAATTCCAGAATGCTAACATAGCTAGTACCCGGCAGAAACAACTGCCAAAGAAGGAAGAAGCAAAACTTAGGCCTCACATTATTTCCACAAACCATTTTGAATATATAATGTATAGAGCACAATAAAACCTTAGTAGCCACATAAAGAAAAAATAGTCGAAACCCCAGGCATCACACATGTCACCAAGGAATAGGCTACTGGAATTGCCAGACAGAGGATTTAAAATAAATGTGCCTGCTATATTCCAGAAGCTGGGTAGAAAAACACAGCAGTCAAGGAAAAAAAAAGTCAAAATAAGAATAACAATTACATTGGTACTTGGGTCATCATAGACAGGAAGTATGGGTAACAAAAGCTGAGGGGCATGTAAAGCCAGACTTACAGGGTAACTTACAGCTTTATATATGCAATGTAACAAAATAAGAAGTCGTAAACTAAAATAAGTACAGAAAATTTTTCTTTCAAAAGAAGAGAAAAAAGAAAATCATAAAGGAATAGAAATAAATATACAGTAAAGGAAATGAACACTGACAAAGGATTTATTCGGAAAATTATTACAATATAGTCACTGTAATTATATGGATGGATTTTTATTAAGAAACATATTAGGGAAAGAAAATAATTTGTTTTAGGGTTATAGACCATATCCTATATATTTGAACAATGTGTTCAAATGTACATTGAGTAACTGAGACCCAGAAATGTAGCATATTATTAAGAAACTTCAGCCCAAACACAGCCAATGCCCATCAATAAGTAACTTATGATTACATAATAATCCTTGGACACACAAGGAGATGGGTAAACCACACTACACACTAGCATTTGATGAGACTTCCCAACAAAATGTGGGTAACTAATGCCAGGCACAAACGGTTTGTATGAATTTTAAAATTATGCAAACGTCAGCTTACATGCTTAGGCATGCTTATGTGGATGCTCAATATAAAAATATATAAAGAGTGAATAACTAAATTTCCTCCCAAGCAAAGAGGAAAGTGATCTTTGTCTGGAAACTGAGAAGAGAATTTTCTGGAGATGAGGTTTAGGGGGAAGTTATAGTGACAGCATTGAATTTACATGTCTGTGCGTGTCATTGGAACCCTTTGGAATCTGCTTTATATCCACAATCGTTAAATCTTTGAAATCGGGAGAAAGGGTTGACCTGTCAGGCCCCTGAGTGTTTCTACTCTATCCAGCACGTCCTCTGAGGATAGCAGAGCTGCGTAGTAACAACACTGTCCGCTGCCTGTTCTTTTCTTGGCAAAACTAGGACGCCTCCTCTTTGATCTCCTGGAAACATGATAGGATTGCGAGTTTCTCTCTTTACTTCCTGTTAGCTGACAAACGCGAAGGCGGCTGTGCTGTGTATTCCATTGTTTGAGCTGCTTCTCCATTAACAATGTGGAGAGCAAGCTCGGAAGGTAGCCATCCGAGGCATACCGTAGGTCCCTTGTCACTCAGGTCCTAAATATGACCCACCTGTGGAGCTTAAAGTTTGTGATGCTGTTTACGACAGCTACAGTGTCCCCGTGTAAGGATGTGACCAGTTCCATAGGTCAGGGAGGGTCTTGAACTTTGGAGAAAAATGTGTGACTATGCATTTTATAACTAGTATATATCTAATACCTCTAACAATGATTACAGAAATATTCTCTGGATCAGGAAATATGCGTGCGCACACAAGGCTCTTCTTTCTGATGCGAGGCGACTCGGGATTATTTTCTGTCTGGATATTATGTTAGCTTTCAGTCCCTGTGGAAAAAGAAATGTGTGGCCCAATAAATTGAAAATGAATAGAAGTCTACTTTGGCGAATGACTTCACAGTGGCTTGTCCCTATTTCTTCCAGCCGCTGGCATTCCAGTCCCTTCTGGCGGGAATGTGTGACAGAGGAAGCCACTCACGTCAGGGATCCAGCAAGGAAAGACAGATGTAAGAAATGGACAAGCTTCCACCATCCACCTTTAAGGGCACACCTCAAAGACCTCATTTCCCAGAGGTTCCACCATTTCTCAATACCTTTTCAGTCCAGTGACCAAAGAGTTTACACTGGGACTGTGGGGGCACATTTCAGATCCCCACTAGGTCAGACATCAAAGGCTTCATCCATCTTGGTGGTGGCATCTTACGGGATGACCAGAATATGCGTGTGGCTGCTGCTTGTGGGATGGATTATTCTAGAGG